TTCTCATTTTTTTCGAGAACTATAATAAATATGAAAAAATGTTTTAAATAAATGTTGTAGCGGCTACGTTTTTACATAAAAAAGTCCGCATCTTCGCAACCTTACCTGTAACAGGTAAAAAGTTATCAACCTCTAAAGGTTGGTAAAATTAAAACCGGTGAAAATATTGAACACCCTTGGCGTACGATACTGCTGTGAGAGAGACAGAGCGATACGTTCGCGCTTGTCACTCTCATTGCATGTTTTCGGGCCTAAACGCATGCATGTTAAACTCCGCCCTTTGAGGAAACAAGAAGAGAAGATACATAGAGTCAATGAGTTAGAAAAAGAGAGCCTTATTGACTGATTTTGGGCTTCTCCGGAAATATCTGACGCACAAGGTCAGTGTTTTCCTTTTCAATACATTCTCAAGTTTTAAATGTATTGAGTTTTATTTCAATTGACTTGAAATTAAAATATTCCCAGCCAAATAATAATAAATAAATAAATAAATAAATAAATTAATTAATATAATAAAATTAATAGAATATTATATATTTATTGTTATTATAATTACAAACGGCTATTTGAATGGTGAATAAAAAAACTATTTGAGAGTAAAATTTATTTAATTTAAAAATTAAGTATAAAATCATTTTTAACAATAAATTAAACTATATTTGAAATAAATTTTTTTTTTTTTTTCATCTTCTTACTTTACATTAATTTTTTTTTTTTAAAATTATTTATTTTATTTTTATTATAATTACGTAGTGCCATTTAAATTGTAAATAACACAAAAAAAAAAAAACAATATAAACATCGAAAATTCTGTTTCAATGAACAATTAAAAAATAAAATAATTTTTAATATTTAATTGAATTTTATTTTTAAAAAAAATTTTTTTTACATTGTTTTAAATTAATGTCACATTAAAACAATGTGAATTTAATTTAATTTAAAATTAAATTGCTTATTAAATGTATATATATATATATATTGTACGTCAGATATTTCCGGAAAAGCCCAAAATCAGTCAATAAGGCTCTCTTTTTCTAACTCATTGACTCTATGTATCTTCTCTTCTTGTTTCCTCAAAGGGCGGAGTTTAACATGCATGCGTTTAGGCCCGAAAACATGCAATGAGAGTGACAAGCGCGAACGTATCGCTCTGTCTCTCTCACAGCAGTATCGTACGCCAAGGGTGTTCAATATTTTCACCGGTTTTAATTTTACCAACCTTTAGAGGTTGATAACTTTTTACCTGTTACAGGTAAGGTTGCGAAGATGCGGACTTTTTTATGTAAAAACGTAGCCGCTACAACATTTATTTAAAACATTTTTTCATATTTATTATAGTTCTCGAAAAAAATGAGAACAAACGTGAAAAAATGCATAAAAAAGCGTTTAAAGGGTGATTTCAACCCTTGCCCGGTGTCGGAGCTCACTTTTTTTTAGGGGAAACTAATTCTACATCCCCTACAAATATTCTATTAAAATTTTATCCATTTCTAGATTTCCCGATTTAAAATTTAATATGACTGGACTAATCTGTTACTTTTTTTTTACATTTCTTCTGGATTTATAAGTATTAAGCCTTTGTCATTTTAAATGATAATTGAATCTTCTTTAAGCATCACTTTTCACACGATGTACATATTTATTCAAATTTTTTTCACACATGTATAATTTACATACACTTTCAAAAACTCTCAATTCTTCTTGAAATTTTAATTTATGTAATAATTATAATCAATTTATTCATAGTATTCATATCAACTTTTTATGTTAAAAAATTATTGAAGCGTTTAATACTTTTGAAAAAATCGAACATTACTTTAAAAATAACGAATTCATTTTTTAAAACTCTCACCACAGTAAAATAGAAAAAATGGAATTATAGATGAGTATCAAAACAAAAATTTTCATCTCAATAACAAATAACTATAAACAATAGACACATAGTCGAAAATATCAAAGTACTGTTCTTACTTCTGAAAATGTACAACTGTCGAATGTTTAAAATTTGTTTGCCTTTTAACTTACTTTACAATTATCCTTGTGATTACGAATTGAATACCGTTAATAATTATAAAAAATAATATTCATTATACTCCAAAAATTCAAATGAATTTGTGTGACTACATGCAGAGAAGAGAGATGTAAATAGAAGTTTATTTTTTATGGGACAATGTGGCCGGGAATTTTGATACGTGTTGTTGATGTCAGATAGCAGAATGGTCGAGATTCGGAAACGTTTCTGAGCGTAGGGTGGAGCTCAAGTTCTGTCATGTAGTGGTGGGAGATGAACGGTTTCCTAACATCATTCTCTGAGAAAATTTCTCTTTCATGTTAACAGAAGACAATGATAAGGGTGCGGAGTTTCAATTATCAATAAGTATAGCCATTTTTAGCTGAATTTTAGGCAAAGTGGGACTTGTGGGAAAAAGAAGCAAGATACCCTCGCATATCTTGATATTATTTTCAACGTCCCACTTTGCCCAAAATTCCGCTTAGAATGTCCAAAAATAAGTATACGTTTTTATATATACTGATCGATGGAAATTATTAAAAAATTGGGCTTACAGTTACGCATATTATCCGAACAAAAATAATAGGATACCATATACATCTAGTACCTCACTTTGCTTCACTTTGGCCAATAAATGAAGAAAAAAATTCTGGTACAATGACTCCAACCGTGTATATCCTAAGTAACTTCAAGAGAAAAATTCTCAAACTAGAAGTTACAAAAACTTTGAATTCAACAGAATTCAGTAAGAGTCAACAATCAATCATCATCATAAGAAGCGAGTCTATTCAATGAACTATTATCAATTGACCATTCGAAGTTTTGAATAATATACGGACCTTCCCAAATTAATTGAATTTTCGGACATTTACTTTGATCTTTTCGAGCAAAATACTAATTGATAGATTTGTAAAAATCAAAATAAAAACTACTTAATATGGTTTCTAAAATTAATTGAAGAAAAATTCTGAATTAATTTTCCGTAAATTTTTTTTTGCAAGAAAATTCACACTCTTTTTTTCTATGGCCAATTTTATCACACAACCAACATTAAAATTTTTTAGAAACATTTAATTCAATATTAGAATTCCTTTTACTAAAATTTTCTCGAATTTGAGCAGAAACTAATTAACTAACTAAATTTGTTTGTAAAAACTGTTTCTCTCATCCGTTGATCTGCATCTCCAAAGCCAACAATCCACCATCTGACGAATTTTCCTCCTTAACACAATCATCAGAACGAGTCCTCCATGTATCCTTTCTCGTTCGACGACGGTTTGGTGTTCTTGGCATTTTTCAAAACTTTGAAAATATTACAACGCACAAATAAAATATCTCGACACGTGAGAAGAATCACTTTTGACACCAATGTAAAATAAGTCCAAATAACAACTTCGGAAAATTAATAGATAAAGGAAAAAGTTTATTAAAGATTGACATCAATTAATAAAGAAGAAAGAATCCGTGCGGTCAACTCAAGTCTCAGTCAAAAACTGGAGATAAACAAACTCTTCCCTCGTTGCTATAAACAATCCAATCATCAAGCAACGTCAATAATTGATAAAACTATGGTTAGTCTAATAGTCATTAGATGGCGACATACAAATATTTTACAATATATACAATCTACGATGAGACTTTTCAATGCTGTACGCTGTCTACGGTCCTCTTATTTGCCTACTTGTGCATGACTTTTCTTAATTTATTTGCGGCTGTTACACTTATGATTGTAATTGATCATTAAATATTTTATACGCGGTCATTACGGAGGCGGAAAAATTATCGGAAGGGACATTCAAGTGTCCAAATGTCGCACCATCTTTCGTATGAAATGCTTTTAAAAAAATTAGCAATTCACTATTATCTTCTAACTTTTTACCGGATTTTATTGAATTAATTTGACATCTACAGCAAGTAAATTTTAAAAGGCAACGGTATGCTTAATAACCCGCAACATATTTCATAGCGCACGTTTCAAGCATAATCGGCTGGACATCATCACAGCTGTCATCTTCTTCTAATAAACATTCAGACATACTACTATCGAATTCATTATTCCCAGCCACCGCGTTATCATGCATATCTACCGGCAAATCATAACTTTCGTATACTACGTTGTTTTTAGAAATGATCATAATATTAGTGCCATCATTCATGTAGTTAGTCCCTTTTAGTGGTGCAACTAGTCATGCTACTATAATATACTCGAGATTATGTCTAATTTGTAGCGCAGAAGGATTGCAATTATTTCCGGACCGGCGACGTATATTTCTGAATAAATTTTTAATGCAGCCTCGATTAAGTCTCGCAGTTAGTAAATAACTCATATTCTCTGCTAAAAGATCGTCCGCGAACAATATTTGTATGATAATGAGCTAGGATAAGTGAAAAGGCTGGGTTAACTCAATCATGGATGGAAGAAAATTATTTAACACAGATAAACTTTATTAAACAATAGGCAACAATAATCACAGTTTAAAGTAAATGAGTTTATGAGTTCACTTAAGTTCATAGAACCGATGAGCACTGTAGTTACACTAGTTAATGAATGTTGGAATGCACTACGACGTAGGTTGTAAGTACACGCTGTTCACAATGAGTTCAAGAATTACGAATACTATTATCTATGAGTTTATTGAGCACAAGATGAGTTCAGTGAGCTGCTGACGGTAATTGTTGAGCACTAATTATAATCTCGATGATTACTTAAGTAGAATGAATGCACAACGAAAAATGAGTGCGTGTACGACAGCTACGATCTAGCGTCGGTGAGCGCGGTTCAGCAACTGATCGGCTATCGAGCTTCATCGAGAAAATTCGTGAAGCCCGGAAGTCGGCGTCGTTGATAAACCCTAATTGGTCCGAGTGATGAGTGTTCTGATTGGTTACCGGCTAGGTAACCAGATTTGAATTATGGAATTGAGTGAGGTTAGCGATTCAGTAATTGATTACTGAACACACCGCCCGCCATCAGCAACAGCGTTGATGATTATTTCGTTGTTGGAGGTGGGGTTAAGTGCTGTGATGTTGATGCAGGGTCGTCGAGCTCCAACGGGAGTATCGCCAGTTTGGTGATCGGACGTTTGAGGACAGTCGTAGCTGTTTTGACTGTTACGACCCTGGTGAGCCCATCCTTGCCAGAATGTAAGTCGATGATGAGTGCGAGTGGCCATTTGGTCGGAGGGAACCGATCGTCGATGATGAGTGCTAATGAACCAACGTTGATGTTTTTGGCCTTAGTTTGCCATTTACTAATTGATTGCTGTTCCTGGAGATAACTTGAGCTCCATTCAGTCCAGAAGTCTTGAAGCTTCTGCTGAATGAGTTGATAAGTCTTGAGTCTGGTTGGATTTATGTCCCTTAAGGATGGTTCTGATAGCGTGTTGAGCGGTCTTCCTATTAGGAAATGACCTGGAGTGAGTGCAGCAAGATCGTCTGGATCTTCAGTGAGTTTTTCCAATGGCCTGGAGTTCAATACTGCTTCCACTTGTATATCTCTAATTGTTTTACTAAAATAAGTTTTGATGAGTTTTACAACAGCCTCCCACTTTCCTCCCATGTGTGGGGCTGAGGGTAGAATGAATTTCCACGTGATTCTGTCGTTATTAAATGAATGCATTAGTTTGGTGAATTCTTGAGTGCCTTGAGTAAAGAGATGAGTGATTTCTGTCGCAGCTCCGAGAAAATTTGTCCCACAGTCGCTAGAAAGAATGCAACGGAGCCCTCGTCGACCGATGAACCGTCGAAAGGCAGCGATAAATCCTTCGGAAGAGTAGTCTATAACAGCTTCCAGATGCACAGCTGATGTGGCTAAGCAAACAAAGGCACAGATCCAACCTTTACTTGTATTTGCTCCTCTACCTTTCCAGGTCTTGAGTGTTATTGGACCGGCATAGTCGACACCAGTATGGGTGAATGCAGGTGATGGAGTCACTCGTGGTTCTGGGAGTTGTCCCATGAGTTGATGAGCTCTCTGAGCACGTTGACGAGCGCATGGAATGCACTTGTAAATGTATGAGCGCACTGGTTGTTTACCGCCGAGGATCCAAAATTGTTGCCTTATGAATGCAAGCGTAACATGAGTGCCACCATGTAGAGTTCGTTGATGAGCATCGGAGATGATGAGTTTTGTGAGTTCTGATGAGCGAGGTAGTATTGCAGGATGTTTGTTCTCTTGGGTGAGTGATGAATTCTCGAGTCTACCTCCTACTCGAATGACTCCTTCTAAGTCAATGTGAGCAGTGAGTCGAGCAAAAGCGTGATGTTTCGGCCACGGTTCCTTTTTCACGATCATGTTGAGTTCTGTAGAGAAGTGATTTCGTTGAGTGTGCTTGACCTAGAACATCAACGCTTTCTGGATGTCATCAGCGTTGATGGGATATGCTAATGATAAGTTCGGTGATCTCTGTTCGGTAGAATGAGTACCTGTTTGAGGTGAGTGGACTTTAATATACACAACTGCCGCCATTGCTTGTTGTGATGAGTCGGCGAATCCACGGATTTCTATTTGTGAGCCCGTGGTGAGTTTTATCCATCTTGGTATTTGAATAGTGGGGATTTGAGTAAGTTCTTGTTTGAATGCTGACCACTTATCAGCTAGTTGTTGTGGTGAGTGGTCGTCCCAGCCTAGTTTTACGAGCCAAAGTTCCTGCATGAATATTTTGGCACGAATTGTGAGTAGTGAGATAAAACCAAGAGGATCAAAGATTTGAGCAATGTTTGAGAGGATGAGTCTTTTGGTGAGTTTTTGAGTTTTCATTGGTGGCTTGAGTTTGAAGAAATTTGATCAGATGTTGGTGACCAATGTAGTCCTAAGACCTTCGTGCTGCTTTCAGATGAGTCAGTGAATGCATGAGTGTTAATTGAGTTCGTGAATGCATGAGGTTTTGATTTATCTTTTGCTTCTGCCTGAGCGCATTGGTTGAGTTTTGGGTGATTGCTAGTCCATTTTGCAAGTGGGAACCCGCCCGCCATGTAGAGGTGTGACACCTGATCTGCTGTTTCTTGGAGCTCTGGAAGTGTGTCGGCGCCTCCGAAGATATCGTCGACGTACCTTCCATGTGTGAGTGGGTTGATTGCAAGAGGGAATTTCTGACCTTCATCCTCTACCAGTTGTAAGAGCACACGTACTGCTAGATATGGAGCTGGTCTGGTTCCATAAGTAACAGTAGTGAGATGATAATGAGCTGGATTGTTGTGTTCGTCGACCCAAAGAATGCGTTGTAAATCCCAGTCTCGTTGATCCACCGAGATCTGGCGAAACATTTTAGTGATGTCAGTTGAGAAGATGAATTTATGACGACGAATCCACAACAAAACATCCATGATATCCTTCTGTAGTTTTGGTCCAGTGTGATGGATGTCATTGAGTGCAATTCCTGATTGAGTTTTTCGAGATCCGTTGAATACCACTCTCAACTTGGTAGTTTTACTGTCTTCTCGAAGGACGCCGTTATAAGGCAAATAAAATGAGTGTTGAGTACTGTCAGTAGACTGGTGAGTTGGTAGGTGACTAGATAAACACTCCTTGGGAACCCTCAACCCTCCTGGAGCCGAAGCACCATGTGCCAAGGTCATCCCCTTAGAATGATCATCCAGAGCACCACCGTTATTGATGAATCCAGCTACTGACTGGTCTGAAATCTTTTTCATGTGACCAAGTGTCTCGTATTCTTTGAGAAACGATGAGTACATGTCCTTATAAGTTGAGTTCTTGTCCAACCTTCGTAAAAGATGTTATAAACAATGATGAGCAGTTCGTGATGAGTCCCCACGTTGAGAGGGGGATGAAATGAGTGGCAGGCGTACTATGTAACGACCTGTTGGATCTCTTGAGTGCGTTGATTTGAAATGAGCTTCACAAGCGGCTTCATCTGTAGTCAGTTCGTTGGCTGAAGATACAGGAACTTCCTCTTGTGTCCAGAATTTGGTGAGCAGCTCGTCAAGCTGATGAATGTCTTGGTCAATCGTCGCGTGATGAGCATAATGTAATGAAGAGTGCGATGAGTCGATTGGACCAATAATGATCCACCCACAAATGGTGAGCTGTGCAATGACCTTACTTGGGGCCTGAGGTCGAACCTCAGGTTTAATTATCTGACCATAAACGTCTGCGCCAAGTATAATGTCAACAAGTCTGGCTACCATGTAGTCTGGATCGGCCAACTGCAAATCTGCGAATTGTGGCAGTGGACCAACCGTACCAGAAAATAATGGTAATAACCCAGTGAGATCCTTGAGTATGTGAGCACCGACGTTGACTGAGTCTGTTGAGTACCTGGACCTTAGTGTGAGTGCAGGTTTTCCCTTTGCCCGACCAGCTTGCGCTGCTCCTACCCCAGTGATTGACAGCGATGAGCGTTGTCATGGTAGTTTGGCTCGCTTCACCAGTGTTCCTGAAACCAAAGAAACTTCAGAACATGGGTCTACGAGAATGCGTACGGTATGAGTGTGAGCAGGAGTGATAAGGTTAGCTACGCTAGTTGCGAGGAGAATTTGTGAGCAGTGAGTATTTTCAGAGGAAGCGTTCGGTGAGTTTGATAGGCTATGATCTGCATTGATGAATGCAGGTGAGTTATGGTGTTGAGTATTTGAGTTTGTGAGCGCGCGAGAGTGCGAATGAGTGTTGTTGAGTGCAGGAGACTGTGTGACAGACTCAGAAATTATTGAAGAGTGAGTCTGCTTCCTTGATTGAGCTTGATGTTGAGTTGTCGGTGCCAAAGACCGGCGGTGAATGCCTTGAGTAGTTGGTTGAGTGCAAGTGAGCATGTTGTCATGAGTTCTTGATTGCGGTGGTGAGTACGGACTAGCATGAGTTGTTGACTGAGTGTTTGAGTAATTGTGTGAGTGCGAGGATGAGTACTCGAGCAGAAGCGTGTTTCTTCATTGTTGAGTGCCAGAAAGGATAGAAAAATTGTGGAGCATTGTATGATGTAAGCTTCCACAATGTTTGCACCTTTTTGTTGTGTTGCAAGCTTCTGGCTTGTGATGGCCCAAGCAGTTATCACACAACTTCCTGCGACGTTCGTGCTCAATCCGCAACGGCCTCGTCAGGTGATAGAATTGTTCACATATGACGATGTAGTGGTCAGGATCACCACACATGTCACACGGGTATGCAGGCTTTCTGATTGTCCCTGACTTTTGAGTACTTCCTGAGCTTGCTGGTTGTTGAACTCCTGATGATCTCTGTTAAGTGCCAGTGGACGAACCAGCGATTGAGTGCGATTGAGTGCTGGAAGTACTTGTTTGAGTACCTTGAGGATGAGTGCTGGCAGGGTGAGTGCCGGGTGAGTGTTGATGAGTACTGGTTGAGCTCGGCTTGGAGGCCTGCGGTTGAACACTGGCAGTATGAGTTCTCGCTGACCTCTGTGTCTTTCTTGGAGACGACGTGGCTGAGCTAATTGATTTTGCTGGAGGGGCAGTCTCCAGACTTTCTTGAGCTCTTGCTCTGCCAGTGATGAAGTCCATGAGTGCCTGGAGCTTCGGCATCTCCGCAGAGGCTCCCTGTCGATTCTCCCAAGCCTCTTTGGTGCTCGTATCAAGCTTGGACGTCACGAGGGGTACCAATAAGTGATCCCAGTGCTGTACTGGTGAGCCCAGAGCTTTGAGTGCATTGAGTGAGTCAGTGAGTGTGCTGATGAGTCCATTGAGTGCGTCAGCCAACTTGCTGGTGAGTTGTTGCAGCTTCAGAAGTCGTTCGACTTGAGCCGTTATGAGAAGTTTCTTGTTCTCATAACGCTTGGTCACCGTCTCCCAGGCTGACTCGAACATTTCGCCTGTTGGAGGCACAGACGCGAGCAAACTCTGTGCTTTGCCCTTCAGGCTACTCTTCAAGTACCACATCTTCTTGACGGCAGGCATCGTGGGGTGATCCTTTACCATTGCGACAAACAGGTCGCGGAATGGCCTCCAGTTACTATACTCCCCATTGAACTCAGGGATGGTAATCTCTGGAAAATTGTCCTGGAGCAAGGATTGAGCAATTGAGTGCTGAGATGAGTGCTGAGCCTGTGGAAGATGTTGAGTGCGCAGATGATATTCTTTCTTTATCATCTGCAGACATTAAGTGTAGTGTCTGAGCGCTGTCTCGTAAATCCCCTTTTTTACATAGTCAGACTCCATGAATTCTTGAGTACAGTTACTGATGAGTGCATTATGCTCGTTGATAAAGTCACGCCAAAAGATGTCTACGACGTCTTTTTTGGCGAGCCAATCAGCGGTGGTGAGCGATGAGTTCAAAAAGGTCGCTAGATTATCGACCTCTTCCACCAAGATCCTGTGTCGCCTATATTGGATCTAAAGGCGATAATTGAGTGAAGCCGACTGTAAAGAGGCCTTAGAAACCGGGGATTTAGGCCTACTCTTGGTCTTCTTTGAGCTTCCAGCATCAGTGCTGAGCTCATCGTGAGTGTCTAATTCACTCGTGGGCTCCTGAACACTGATGATTGGACGATTGAGTACCTTTTCTGGCGCGTCAGAAGTTTCAGTTTCTTTCTTCTTCAATTCTGCCATCTTGAGTAGTTGATGAGTTCAATTTAATCGTGAGTAAATTGAATAATGAGTCCAGAAAATAATGAGCGCCACTGTTAATGAGTTCAAATGAGTGTCACTGCACACCAAAATTGATGAGTTCCAGTTTAAGATGAGCACCACTATAAAGTCTAATTGAGTATCACTGACATAAAGTTGAGTTTAATGAGGATCACTGGACACTAAAAACAAAACTGAGTGTCACTGGTCAAGAATTTCTAAGCACTTACGCGCGACAGCGAATAAAAGTTTTGTTTACTTGTCGAAACAAAGAGCACGAAGAGTTCTGTGAGTGCATGAGCACTGAAATTACTGCGCCACTGATCGAGTTAATCCGGCTCGAAGGACCATAAATATGTATGATAATGAGCTAGGATAAGTGAAAAGGCTGGGTTAACTCAATCATGGATGGAAGAAAATTATTTAACACAGATAAACTTTATTAAACAATAGGCAACAATAATCACAGTTTAAAGTAAATGAGTTTATGAGTTCACTTAAGTTCATAGAACCGATGAGCACTGTAGTTACACTAGTTAATGAATGTTGGAATGCACTACGACGTAGGTTGTAAGTACACGCTGTTCACAATGAGTTCAAGAATTACGAATACTATTATCTATGAGTTTATTGAGCACAAGATGAGTTCAGTGAGCTGCTGACGGTAATTGTTGAGCACTAATTATAATCTCGATGATTACTTAAGTAGAATGAATGCACAACGAAAAATGAGTGCGTGTACGACAGCTACGATCTAGCGTC